TCTTCTCGCAGAAAAACACGGAGCAACTTTCTGCTCATAAATTGAAGCCGTTCGACAACACGCGCTGCACACGTGAACCCAGTCTGTGGGCGTCACCAGCACCGTAGACATACATTATACATAGATTAGGTACGGCAGCTGCATACAGCTCTGGGTGTAAACACGTAGTCTGTTTGTCACATGTCTGCGTTATACCTGTCTGCGTGCTGAAACCACGTGACACGTTACATCCAATACTGAAACTTGACACAGAAAGAAGAGTGACGTTTCAATACATACACCGACCGGTGCAGTTCGGTCGGTGCCGTTAAAGAACCTCAGTTCGGTACTCATCCCTACACAGAACTGAGATAAATGAAGGCAGAATTTTTTTGATTTTCGATTTATTCATATTTGTATTGCTTTGGGTTCTATGGCACAAAGAAATAGTGAACATGCAATAATTAAGCTGCTTCATCATTTCTGAAAACCTACTGAGTTTATACAGAGACACCAAAAATCCCTTTGAAAAATGAAAGTGATTATTTTCAATATTCTCTTGGTGGATACACAACACTGTGGAAAAAATCTGTCAAAATGACAAAAATGTGGTAGACTGTAGCTTTTTTAAATATTTTAACTTGTTTTTTGTGATTCATCAACATAAACTAAAAATGTCATTTCATTTGCACCTTGCATTTGCACTCATCTGTGTGTACTAAAATATGAATATATGAGATGAAAAATGAACATTTTTGTTGTTTGGGTATGTTGATTCTTTGACTGCCACCAACCGTAACTTATTAGAGTTAGAAATCTTTACTTATTGTGTCAAGTTTTGTTATTTGATTTAGAAAGTGAAAAATTGAGATTGACGTTTCTATGCTGATCAATTATTAGGTGTTTTTTTATGATTGTCTACTGGAAAAATGTCATGTAATAAAGTAGGATTGCTGATTTTTCACTTATTGGGACTGCATATAATTTTTATATTTTCTGTATAATAGCAGTAAAGATTCTGTTTTGTTTTTCTCACAAAAAATGTAGTTTCCCTGTAGATGGCAGGTATGAACGCAGCATAAAACTGTTGTTTGTTGTGTAGTCTGGGCCTAACAAAAGGACACCTTTGCAGCTCTCAAGACATGCAGCACTTAACTTAACTTTGTTCCATCAGAAGGTTTTTAAATAAACTTGCTGTTATTGACAGGCGGGTTGTGTGACCAGATACCTGCGGGAGTTAAAACGAGACATGTCCAAGACACATTTTATGTGTAGTGCTCCACATCAGCACTCCTGAGTTACACTCCAGCCTCCTATGGGTCCACTTCATTTATGAAAGCTCTTATTGTTGTGGGACGTGGCCGGCTCATTTAGAAGTTTATAAATGTTCATAAGCAACTTAAAGAGAGACTCTCACTGGCTCTAATTACAAACTGTTGGATTAAAAGAAAAGGACTATTGAACTTGTTTAAAGCGTAATGAAATCAGAAGAGAAGCAAAGCAATTCAGTAAAGAATATGAGTATGGATGTTGGAAACAACTACTTGTCTTTTATTTGGACAAAGACAATAAAGAATGGGTGAAAATATAAAGATGGACTTATACACTGGCCAGCAATGACTCTTGTGCAAAACTCCCTTTGGAAACTTTTGGGGAAAGGTTAAGTTTTATTTGTCATGCTACACTTTGATACATGAGATTTGTGTCAAGGTCTATGAAATCAGTAGAAAATGTAATTGCATTAAAAATAAGTCCTTAAAAGCCTATAGCATGGTAAAAAGCTATATATTCCAGTGACAGTAGAAGCAGTACAGAAGTGAAGGAGGAGTCGATCAATGAGGAAGGAGGTTCAAATTAGAACTCAAGGTGGGAGGAGTCCTACAAGACGTTCTCCTCTGGCGTACATGTCCTCAATGGGAGGGAGTTATCCTGGGGCAGAGTTAAGCAGCCTGTGCAGCACTTCCTGCCAGCAGCAGAGTCGTTCCTGTCCCGGGTGGTGATGGAGAAGATGAGGGTGCTCTCCACCTCACACTGATGAAATGTCATTCATACTGGAGTGCTGAGGCCAGCCCACTTCAGTCTCCTGAAGAAATATGGTCATTAATGGGCCTTCTTTACGATGCTCAGTGTGCATCATTTTTTATTGGAAATGTGTACCTCGAGACACTTAAAACTGCAGATAGTTGACATGGTAGCTGCTTCAATAAAAGGGGTGAAGCAGTGTAGTCTTAGAGTCCACAACAATGTCCCCGGTGTTCCCCACTTTGATGCAGAGGTTGTTCTGCATCGACTCATGAATTCTTCCCGCTCCTGCCAGTACAGTGACTCATCGTTTTGGGCTATCAATCTCACCACAGCCATGATGTGAGGAGGCTCATCAATATGACTGCCTGCGTGTTTATCCAGAGCTGCTATTGGTTTGGACTGTGTACAGCAGGGGGCTCTAAACATTCCCTGGGTGAGCCTAAGATGAAGGACTGACACTGTGGACTTTAAAAGTCTGTGGCCAGTTTTATCATGAAATTTAAAATCCTGTTTACAAAGTTTAATTCAAGCAGCTGCAGTTTATTTATGCCTGAACTAAGCCTGACACAGGAGACCATGGTTTAAAATAAGTGAAGGCAGTCAGGGTCATCAAACTATAGTAATGTACACCACACACTAGAGATAATCTTTTAGTCTTAGCGATATTTAGACATTGTGTAGATGTTTGTTTGACTAACTGGCTCCACAACCTGGAAGAGAGGGAGCACCTGAGCTGTTAAGGATATTCCTTTAGAACATCTCTGAGCATCATCAGGTTCTGATGCTTTATGGGGGGCATTTCTCAGAAGGGCACGCTAAGAAACAGTCCGCCTGGTGGAAGTGAGAACCTGGAACAAGAGGCTGGAGAGGAAATAAATTAAAACTGGCAAAAGAAAAATAATCCAGAGCTGAAGAGCACTCATTTAACATCTTTGCTTCTATATTTCTAAGCCCCTTGATGTTCTTCCACACAATTCAAAAGATGACTTTATATTTTAAAGGCTTTTTCTCTTTTAAGTCCATTCTTCAGCTCCTTTCTTGCTTATGAGTGGAACTGTGTCTCCTGTCAAAGACTGGAAGGTGATTCTTCAGAGTGCACCTCACTTCTCTGTGTAGCCAAAATCTCTCAGGTAAAATATCCTTTTTACTTTTAGGGTTAGACCATATAAGAAGTGCATCATCCTAGACATACTGGAGTATCTGGCTGGATGATAGTCATTTTAATAAATTGCATCTTACATCATCTCATTTACCAAAAGATCTAAAGGTTAGATTAGGCTTTTGTTATAAAAACAAAATGGACACTACATTAATCTTTGGCCACCTAATCAATTGAGGAAACTGTACTTTTAACCAATATTAAAACTAAAAAGCATAGTTTCCTACATATTGATATATATATATATATATATATTTTTTTTTTTTTTTTCATTAAACCTTTATTTAGACGGTAAATCCCATTGAGCCTCGAGGACTCATTTACAAGAGAGACCCGATTTAACAAAGAATGATGACAACAATACACAGTTATAAAAAGTCATACAGATTTTATTTTTTTAACAAATATGATGGCAAAAAAAGAAAAGTAACAAAAAAACAGCTAGATTATAAGGTGAATGTAGAAAACTAAAAACAGGAACATGTCTGCACTGGTCCCTGCCAGGAGTCCAACAGATTCTTAAAGCCACTTAGAGAGGTCAAGGTCGAGAGCTTCAGATCTTTTTGTAAGATGTATATATATATATATATATATGTATATATGTATATATGTATATATATATATATATATATATATATATATATATATATATATACATATATACATATATATATACATATATATATGTATGTATATATA